TGAATGATTACCCATGGTTGGCCTATTCAGATATCCATAAAGGATTATTTTGTAAAACTTGCGTTTTATTTTTGACTAATTTAGAAACAGGAAAAGGTTCTCATCAGCAGGTTAATCAATTTGTACGATCTCCGTTCACAAATTGGAAAAAAGCTACCGAGAGTTTTGCCAATCACGCCAAACTCAATTACCACAAAGATGCGTGTACTTCAGCCGAAAATTTTTTATCGGTATTCGATTCAAAAACTCTGGACGTATGTTTGCAGATTAATACGAAAGCAAAGAAAGAAGCCGATGAAAATAGAAAAAAGTTGCGAACGATTATTCAAACACTTAAATTTTGCGGTCGACAAGAATTAGCTCTTAGAGGGCATATTGACAGTGGTCGTTTGACTTTAGAAGAACCAATACACAACGATGGCAATTTTCGTGCTCTATTAAGATTTCGCGTTCAAAGCGGTGATGAGGTGCTGAAGGAGCATTTGTTAAATTCGGCTCACAATGCTATGTATACCAGCCCAGACATACAGAATGAATTTATACAGCTGATTGGCGCGGAAATTATTTCACAAATCGTTAAACGAGCAATCAAGTCGCGGTTCTTTACCGTTCTCGCAGACGAAACTACGGACATTAGTCGCATTGAACAATTCTCCTTGTGCATTCGTTATATAGACTTGGAATTGTATGTTGTACGTGAAGATTTCCTTTCATTTGTTCCTGTCCACGATGTAACCGGAGTTGGATTAGCGAGAACTATTAAAGACCAATTGCAGAATCTCGGTTTAGACTTGCAAAATCTTCGTGGTCAAGGGTACGATGGAGCTGCTGCAATGCGAGGTGCTTTTAACGGTGTGCAGGCAATTATTCAAAACGAGTTTCCTAAAGCAATTTATACCCACTGTATTTCACACTGTCTCAATTTATGTTTAAATGATGCTTGCAAAATCGATTCAGTACGAAATGCGTTTGGAGTTATCTCCGAAGTTTGTACATTTTTTCGTACATCGGCCCGGCGAACAGCAATTTTATCACGCAAACTAGAAAGCTCCGATTCAGCGTCAACTAATTTAAAGAAGTACTGTGAA